GACACTTGTTACACAACCTGTCTTGGAATTGCCAAGGTTTCTCAGCCCTGGGCCCTTCATCATCCTGCCCTCCACAGCCAGTCRCGGGGACTGGCAACGACACTGCCAATGTGCTCTTAAACTATGCAGAGAGCTGTCTGAGTTCAAAAACAGAATCTTTGTCACTCTGGGTTCTTGGTACCTGGACAAAGTGCCCTCTGAGAGGTCCTAAAACTTGAACATATGTTGATGTTGACCCTTCCTGACTTTAGTTGCTTCTCCTGTGTTCTTTGATGCCCAGGCTTTCATCTTTCCAGTGTGGATTGCAGGCCTAGCCAGCCAGCACCATCTCCTTGAATGTATGCATGGGGCCAAGGAAGAAATGGAGGCAGTGAGTCACAGCACAGCCTCTCCTTCCTCACAACCCATCAGTGTCCCTTTCACCTGGTCTTTCATTTCCCCAACTTCCACTTCTCTCCCTGCTTGCAGAATGTGARATCACATTGTACCAACACATAAACATTTGCTCAATCAGTGTGAGTGGGTGAGTGGACACCTTGGGTTGGAGTCCCTCTTTTGCAGCTTACTAKCTGGGTGGCCTTACTCTAACTGGAAGGTGTCTTGGCCTCTGGGAGAATCAGTTTCCAAACTGGAAATAAGGTGGGGAGCAGGGGATACATTATTGTAGGGATKACATGTTTTGGAAAGTGCTTAACACAGTGCATGGCACCAAGGAAGTCTCCATGAACGTCATCTATTACACACCTAGCTTGGGGGCTGGTGCTGGCTTCATCACCTCTCGTGTGAGGACACAGGCAGCCTGTGAAGGGAGGCCTTGGGCTGTGGGTAGAGACGGAGAGGACAAGTCGAGGGTCATCAGAACCATGAGATCCATGAAGGCAGCACTGTACTTCCCTTCCCTCTTCCAAGGGTCTCTGGGACCTGTGATCATGTGTCCCGTCCTCCTAGGTTCCTGACCATAACTGTATACTCTTACAAAATGCAATTCCACTTATTCCTTAGGGAGTTTTTAAAAAATTAACAAGATCAAGAGCAAAAAAATTAAATTTCAAAGCCATGAAGACATCAGGGGGACATTCAGGTTCCCCAGGCTGTCYAGCTGCTGGCTGACATTCTCTGCATTTTCATGCTGATGGGCCTTGACTCTGTGCCAAGGATGGGGCCTGGGTCTGGGCCAGGGCTGAAATGGGAGCAAATTAATGATGTCATTAGACTAGTCAGGGGCCTTAAATCTCCCATGACAAGTTTAAGTGCAGRATGCATGATAGCATTTCAAAGAGGACATGTAAAGTCCCCAGGGTCCAGAGCTCAGTCTGGGATAGGGGGWGGGCAGGGCTGGTGGGGCTGTGAGAGATGGCTCAGGCTGGTCAGATCTGATGGTCAAGTGCTCAGGTCTGCTGATGACATTGATCTCAACAAACCCTTTCCCTTTATCCTTCCATCTGGCAGGACCTTCTGCGACCCTCCACAGGTCCAGCCCTGGGTCAGGGTAGGGGCTCTAGAGCACCCTTAGACTGGGTCTGCTGCCCTAGTTGGGGCTCACAGCCTAGTAGTGGAGTCGCACATGCCCACAAGAGTGCTGTGTGATGTATGCTTGAAGAGGCCCGAAAGGAGCTCACTGGAAGCRGCAGATGGTGGGGCCACATGTCTTGGTTTGGCCAGGACAGTGCAGGTTTGTGGTTGGAGATGTTCCACACCTGTCAATCATTTTGACTCTGAAYTGTAATTCATTCTCAAAGGGGTCTRCATTTGGACAAGACACATATGTAACTGCCCTACACCTCAGGTAGGCTGGGGGCACAGGCAAGTCTTCCTGGGGGAGGACCTCGGGATGGCCTAGTCCATGTTGGGGCAGTGACAGTGCCAGTGACCTGGGGGCTGCAGAAGCTGAGGCATGGTCAATTCTGAAGGCGAGGACAGTGCAGTAGGGAAGCAGGAACCAAGTGGGAGGTGCACCCAGTCCCTTTCCTTAGCACTGTCTACTTGGGCCCTGTACCTGTCTTGGCCTGGCCTCCAGAGGCCGCTTATCCTCCCCAGCACTACAGCCTGAGGCATCTTTCTGATCACATCACCCTTGGGCTCAGACTCTCCAGGCTCTCACCATCAGCAGGAGTTTTTGCCCCTGCATGATCTGCCCTCTGCTCTGTAAAATCATGCCTTCAGGTGGGCCCACATCCCCATGCCCCACCAACCAGCCTGCTCTGCCTGCCAGCCCCTCCCTCTATTCTCCCCTGTGAACTCCACTCTCGAGCCTCATTTCCATTCACCCTCTCCATGAAGCCTTCTGTGGCTGCAGGCAGAGTGACTAGCCCTACATCCTCTCTATCCTCAGCCTCCACAGACTGCAGATGCAGCTCCACCACAGCCAGATCACGTAAGCCCTGGGTTCAGTCTTGCTACCCTGACACAAGACTTTCTGTTTCTGGGGCAGAGTTGCCTAGTCCTCCTCAAGGGTAGGTTCTGCCTGAGCATTCTGGTGTGCCTCCTGGGTGGCTATGGTGCTATGGGTGGACCAGTCCACTCACTCTCTGTYCCACTTCAGTATGGGCACTGCTGGAGGACCCCTGAGGCAGTTCTCTACTACCAGAGACAAATCAGTGCTTCTGAACACAGACCAAAGAAAATATGAGCTCACCATACCCTGAGATCATCCTGCACCTTCCTCTTTCAGTTTGGTCAGCCATAGCCTGGCCAGGACCTTGTCCTTCATACCCTTTTGCAGGTTGGCCACATCACAGCCAGGCCAGCCTCTCTGCCCAGAGCTCCCCCACCTCTCTCCCAGAGGGTGATTCAGGTCAAGGCCTTGCCATAATGCTGAACTAATGAGATTTCTACCAGCCTTGTGGTGTCCCGGTTCTCTCCTTCACTTCTCTTCCACCTAGTCAGAGCCCTCAGAATCTCAAGCATCCTACAGCAGGGTCTGTGGTTCCTTCTTTTTTTTTTTTTTTTTTTTTACCTTTTAAGCTGCTCCAAGCACATAATATGCCTACATTTGCTTGTTTGATGGTTGCTTTCTGGCACATGCTCTGTGCCAGGCTCTGAGGGGTCCTCTTGGCAGCAGGAACTAAGAGATGAACAGCTTTATCTGTGCCCTCAGGGAGCCAGAACACCACAGCTTGGCCCTGGCACGAATCTGGCCTGAACTCTAACTCCACCTTCTACTCTCTGTCTCTGGTTGGTTCACATGAACTTTTTCTGCTGGAACATTCCTTCTTCTGTCTGTGGCCAACTCAGGTTTGGTGGCTTCTCACCTTGCAAGAATCTCTCCTGCTTTTCCCAGCCCTGACTAGATTAGCTGTTTCTGTGATGGACTCCAGCCACACTGCTCCCCACAGAGCAATGGCTTCTTGAATCTCCCCAGCAAGGGGGTAAGCTCTATAGAGGCTATTTTCTCTGGCTCCCCACCATGTTCCTTTGCRTGCATAGTACCTGGCATTTACAAAGGATTTCATTCATTCATTCATTCAGCAAATAGTTACTGAGTCCTGCTGTGGGCCAGGAACTGCTCTAGCCAGTTGGGATATATAAAATATACAACAGACCCAACTTCTGCCCTCATAGAGCTTGTGTTCTCAGGGAAAGGACCACATAATAGTCACTAATGAGCACATCAAGCATACATTGCATTGGAGGATCTTCGAGGCCAGGGAAAAAGTGGAGCAAAATAAAGGATGTAAAAGCGTGGGAGTGGGGGATAAGGTTGCACATGGTGGATGGTTCCATCCTCACTAAGCTGATGACGACTCCGTAGGTATTGAAGGTGGAGAGGAGCGGGCCACGGGGATGCCTGGGAAGAGCACTCCAGGYAGAGGGAGTGCGGTGGGTTCASGGGACAGCAAGGGGCTTGCAAGGCTGGAGTGTGTGTAAAGGAGACAGCCAGAGTGGGAGGGACTGGGAGCAGGGCTGAGTGTGTGGTGCACAGGCCATGGCRGAGACTCTGAGGAAAATGGAAGGCCCAGATGGTGGGTKTCCTGAGCAGGGAAGTGGCCTCTTTTGCCTAATTCTACTGCATCTTGGATGAATGGATATCTGAGTCCCATGACAGAGGAAGCACAGGGGGACCACAGAGGCACCTGGGGGAATATCTTACTTCATCCAGGGAATCAGAAAAGGTTTCTCAGAGGAGGTGACAGTTGACCATGGCCAAGGTGGAGGAATTCAGAGGGGTGGAGGGCCCCTGATCCAAGGCACAGAGGTCCAAAAGGACAGGCTCCCTTAGGAGAAGAGCTATAGGCCTCCAGAACAAGCAAGGTGATTGGGTGGGAGCTGAGCTGACAAGACCAGCAGAGGACAGATTCTGGAGGGCTTTGAATGCCGGGAAAAGTGTCTAGGAACTGACCCTGAGAGCAATGAGGAAGATGGTGGAATCTGGACAGGGACAAACCCATGCTCAGCCCTCTCGGAACCCTATTCACTATGGCCTAAGGGTAATCTTTCCTCTAGAACTTAAACGGAGGCAGAATGTCCTGGGCTGGAGTGGAGTTCAAGTTCATTGTTAACCATGGCCTTTCTCTTCCCTGGGCCTTGGTCTCCCCAGATGTTGAACYGAATCTCTCTGAGGACTCCATGGTGTTATAGGATAAGCTTCAAGGTCCTAGGCCCCACAGCCACACAGACCTGGCACAAATCACTGCTCTTGATAAATTGATAATTCAACAACTATAGGCTGTGTGACCTTGAGCAAGGCTTTTCYGTTTTCTGAGGTTTCCCCATCTGTCAAGGGGATGACAGCCCCCGCATAYCAAGGTTGGAGAGGAGATGGCCTATGCCTGGTACACAATGGGTRTCTAATAAAGGCCAGATGGGTTTCTATGGGCCTGACTCGAGGTCTTTTGAGCTGAAGACGTAGGGACCYTGTAGCTAGGACAGAGGAAGCAGCCTCACCTGGGACGTGTCGTGGTTGAAGATGACGGCATTGAGGTCCCCGCAGTTGTAGTGCTTGATGAGGTCCTCTGTGGTGTAGGGCACCTGCAGGCTCCCAGCCCGCACGCTCTCGTGCTGTARCAGGGTCTGGTTCAGGGCAAACAGCACCTGGCCGAGGAAAGAGAGGGGCATCAGGGCTGAGCTGAGGACTGGCGGCCTCTAGTATGGTCCTCCACTCTCTGGATTTCAGGGCAACGTGCCTGAAACAGGTGTGTGCACCTAGCACCAGGGCTCTTGGGAGATATTTCCATACCTCCTGCTTCCCGCCCGCTGCTCTGAGCATGGTCARCCTGCTCATCTCTAGCTCTCTGCTCACACCCGTCCCCTCCTGCTCTGGGTTGCAATATCTTATTTAATGACAGGGCAAGATGAAGACTGTGCTTGCCTGGGTTTGGAATTTTAGGTGAGTTTATCTCTGAATTCCTTTTGTGTTCCTGTCCTTAGAAATGTTCTAGCATATTTTGTAATTAAGAGCGCATCCAAACAAAGCAAAACAAAAACGTGTGTTAAGATGTCAAAGCCCAACAGGATGATCACCTTCTCTGGAAGCGTCCCTCATCCAGGGGAGGCCCCAGGAACTCGGTCCTCAAAATCTGGTCCACACTCATAGCAGCAGGCATGTTCACAAGAGCTGCTGTCCTCTGGGCCAACATGCCTATCTCTGGGGCCACAGTTATGCCAACCAGACCTGCCAGCTATCAGTGTCACTTGGAATGCTATGCAAAAATCAGATACCCAGGTCAGGCCCTCTGGAATCAGAATCTTTATATTTTGAACAGTGTCCCTGGGCACTTCCTGAATAGCCCCACTGCCTGTGGCATCTGTGGATCAGGGCTTTCATGGAACATGAATGCTGGGGTACAAAGGTCCTTGATAGATTGTCTAGTTTGGTGCCATCATTTTAGGCAGGGACACTAAGACCCAGGGAGGGGAGGGCTCTGCCTCACATGGCTGGAGCTGGAGCCAGCATCACTGGACTACRTATCCCACACTCCTTTGATCAATGGGTGAGAGAAGCCTGATTATTATTAGGTTATTTAGGAAAGATGAAGAGAAAAATTCATTGCAATCCCCAAGCAAATATCAAGAGRTGATCTCAGATCTCCTGTCCCCACTGCTCCCCAAGCCTCAGGCTGTGTGTTCCGTCCCCATGGCCAGCTCATTCTGTTCTGCACAATGCTTTAGATGACAAGACYCCGGCTCTTGGCCCACACCCATTCAGGCCCCAGCATCGCTCACTGGGTCTATTGCAATAGCCTCTTCTAGCWCTTCCCTCCCCTCCCAGTTCATCCCATGGTTTTTCTTATTTGTTTTGTTTGTTTTCTTTCTTTTTTATTTTTATTTTATTTTTGTTAAAAGCTAAATTCTGATGGCCTCCTTCCTTCTCTTTTTTGCTCAAAGCTTTCCTGCCCTCGGGTTCAAGGGCTAGCTCTTCRGTAGTTTCCAAGGTAGTCATCTGGACCTTTGGCTCCCATGGTCTCTGTGAGTGGTAAACTGAAGGATTAATGGCCCCAGATCTTGACCCCTCCCTATGTCCATGCCCTTCCCCCTGGAACTTTGTAGCCCCTTCCCTTTCTGACTCTGGACTGTCTTCGGCCAATGCACGCCAGTAACCGCTACAAATGAAGGTACCAAAGCAAAGCACTAGAGTGCTTCTGCTGCTGCTACTGCTCCTGTCCCTCTGCCATCACCCTGAGAGCAGCCCAGGCCAGTACGATGAGGGATGAGAGACACATAGGGCAGAGTGGTCCAGCCAGGCCACTCTAGATCAGCTGAATCCCAGACAGGAGAGCCCAGCAAGATCAGCAGAGCACACCCTCAACTGACCCAGCCACATGAGCAGGGAATGCCATTGTTTCCAAGCATAACTGTGGTGATGATGTTTGATAGGCCATGCTTCCTTCCCCCTTGGTGTGGACATCAGATTGCCGTTATGTATAACTGCCAGATCCTCTCAGTAGGCCACAAACTTCTTGAAGATAGCGATTGCATCTCATTCATCTTTGAATCTCAATGCTCAGCACTGTGCCTGGTAAAGGAAGGATGTCACCCCTTTTTTCTTTAGTATCTTGACACTTATTGTGGTAGTGCAAGGATGCCAGCTAAGGCCTTAAGAACAACCTGGAGGCCTCTAGCACTCTACCACACGCTGCAAGTTCTCACCAAGACACCTAATCTGAGCAAGAAAAGCTCCTGAAATAGGTACCTGTGGCCTGGCCAAAGTGCTGACACAGGCAGCAGGGCCAGGCCTGTGCTCATGAGATCACCTTCGCCGGGGTCCCCTCCCAGTTTTGCTAATGGCTGGGCAGGAGAGCTGAACGGTGTGARAGGCAGCAGCCCAGGCTGCTCCCCCTAATGAGCTGGCTGGAGATGAGGTCAGACTCCCCTACTTCCAGGCCCTCTTCAGGTCCCYAGGCTCGGGCTGCCACCACTGAAATCTGATCTGCAGCCATCTGGTCCAGGGTGTCGATGGCAGCATGGTGGCTGGGGATAGATTACAGGAGGCAGTGGCCTTGTGACTGTGGACATTGCTAAGGCAACAGGCACTTCCTCCCACAGGGCACATGCCTTGGATGAAAGTGTCCGTGTCGGGCTGATCCGCTCCCCTCCTCTGAGGGCCTGGGACACACAGACTTCCTGTGACCACACCCAGCCGCTGCACACACCTGCCCGCTGCTGCCCAGAACAGCCCAGCCAAGGCACCACCTGACCTGCTGTGAGGTCATCGGCCTAGGCGCCAGAAGACCCRGCTGGAGGGGAAACGGCTCCCTTGGCCCCTGCTTGCCTCGCGGAGTCCCTTCTGTAATCATGTATGTGGCCCTCATGCAGCTGGGAGGTGTTCTAGTGGATTAGGTGTATTACAATCTGCAGGGTGTTAAGAACAGCCCTGGCATGGAGTAAGTGCTGAATAGGTGTTTGTTAAATAAAACTTAGAAGAAAATAGTTCAACTCAAGCCTTCCCAGCTTGGAGCTGGGAGGGTCCCAAGAGGTCATCTGGTCCAGAGGGTTTTCAAACCTTTTTTAGCCATGGAATCCTTTTTTTTGGTTGTTGTTGTTTTCTAAAGGAAACTTCCTTGGAACTCCAAATGTAGAGTAGATAAAAATGGAAACTTTGCTGGCTGATGTAAGAGAGGCAGAGCAGAGCCTGAAGTCCTGCCAGCTCAATGCCCCCACGAAGCAGAGATTTCCCCCAGGTACCTGGGAGTCAAATTTGAGAATCACTGATCTCATCCTATGTCCTCATTATTTGAAAGGGGAGAGGAGACAGCGTCCTGGAAGAGGTAGGATGGGGCTTGCTCAAGGTCACAAGTGAACTGGGGCCCGGTGGGGCTCAACCCTGTGCACTCTGACTCCTAAYCCAGGACTCTTTGTAGTGCCCTGGACCATGTGGCTGAGGCAGGAGATCCAGACGTCCACAGTTTCTGTCCAGCCATGCTCATTTCTTTCTGAATCCTTATGAAATAACCAGGAATATCTGTCATTGCTGGGTTAGAAATGGAAAGGCCAAGGTGTCCCTATGGTATCATAGTTGGAGGGTGGGGGAGCTTTGTCATYCCCAACTCTGCCGCCTTGGGCATCGCTCCTCCCACTCTGCCTTTATGAGTTATAAAGAAATCTTCCTCCATTCATTACCAGGATTCCCTAGGTTTACTGAGCACTTACTACAAGTCAGGAACTTCCTAAGCTAACTGATTATTTAATCTTTATAGGAACTCACAGGTAAGAATTTAAAARTAAAAAGAACTGCAGCAAAGAGATGTTAAGCACTTTGCCAAGGAGACAGATTTGGAGAGAGGTGAGGCGGGTGTTCAGGTCAGCCTGGAACCTGTCCTCTTAGTTAACCACTGCCCACTGGGGCCTCTCTCTGCTGATTTTGGGTGGCGGGTGGTGGTGCAGGAAGCCATGAGGAATGGTGTCTCTGTTGACAGATGGGAAATGAAAGAAGCAGATGGGAGTGACAGGTCCAAGGCCACACAGGTGGTAGAGGAAAACTGGGGTTTCAAATTACACTTCTCTGTTTCCACACCAGGTTCCCACAACCAGGACTTCAAAGCACTATGTCTTCCTCCATGAGCACTCTTGGTGCTTCTAACAGAGAGAAGCTGCACCCATTCATTCCTTCAACAAACTTTGGCTTTCAGCTCCTTCTATTTGGAATCTGAGTTTGGGGGACAAAGTGGGCTTGGTCTCTGACCACATGGAGCTCTTTTTGAGAGCAGACAGGCCCCTGGCAATCATGGTAAGGGTGATACAGGTACAGGCTCTAGGATGAAGTGCCGGCCTAACTTCTGTCCCCTTCCCAGTCACCCTGAATTCCTCAGCCTGGCGCTGCTCAGATTTGCAAGCTTCCATGCTTTCTGCTCTTGGCCACCTTAGAATAACAAACCTTCCTCACCCAGAGCCTCGGTGGCCCACTTGAGGATAATGTTTATGATAAGGTTTTGACATGGAATAACAAACACTGGGCCAGAGCTGCCTCACTCCCCCTGGAAGGCTGTACGGAGGCCCAGCCATCAAGAGCCCCAGCCTCCAAGAGCCCTTGTGCATCCCCACAGCCCCCTCCCTTGCCAGGGCTCGCTGGGCTTAAGGTGGCCCACGGCATTTGCTGTGTAGGCCTGGAATTTAAATACGTCTTCAAGTACGGGCCTCGGAAAGAGTGCGGCAGGCGCCAGGAGGGTGGGGACAGGTTTATTCTTCCAAAGTCGTCCTGTAAACAGTCCTGGGTGATCTGGAATGGTGGGCCCAAGGCCTATGCTGACTTGGTGGCYCAGCAATGTCATCTGAGAAGAAAGTGGCAGGACTTCCTTTGTGAGGAAGGAGGTTTGGACCCTGGGCCCCAGGAAAGACCTGGCTCTCAGGCTAGGGGTCTAAGGAGGGCTGAGAGCACTGCTACCCCATGCTGGAGCACCGGAGGGTCCCAGAACAAGCCCCCAGCCCCTCAGCCACACTCACTAAGCAGCTCTCCTGAGCCAGGCAGATTTAGGTGCCTGGGAGTTAGCCAGCGACAAAGTTGACAGAAAGGCCTGCTCTCCCAGAGCTTCCCTGCTGGACACAGGGCTGGTGGACAGAATAAGAACCATTACCAGTAACATCTTAAAATACAGCCT